ATGTGTACATTACAATCTCAAACAAAGGCTTGTATGTGATGTGTCAGCCTCAGTCTTAACCAGCCCTTGATGAATCCCTGTCTAAGATGGACTTGCCTGCATAGAAACTCCAACTAGGGCTTGGAGCCTTGTTTATACTGTAAGTGGTTATTTAACATCAAACTCTCATTTGAAGAATCCTGAACAGCTTTCAGCAGCTGTGGAATCTGCCACCACTACTTAGAAATTCGGATTTTCTCTCAATTTTTCCTTCGGGGCAGGGGGATTGGATGTGATTGGTGTATTTTATACTGGTCCCTTTATTATAAGGTCACCTGTCAGGCTGGCATCAAGGCGATGCTCTTCCACCTGGCTGGTGGTGTCAGCACCACCACCACCCCGTCCAAGCCCTCTGTCCTCCTTTCCTCTGAGTTGGCCACACCCTCTGTGCCAGCAGGTCAGTCCTTGCAAGTGACTTGCTTGTATGCTTAGAAAACACACTTTGAAGTCCTCCATGTGTGGTAACCATGTGGCCTTGGGCAAGATGCTAGCTCTCTCCTCTGAACCTTCCTCCCTGGTCTCCCCACCCATGTAGACCTTCCTCCCTGGTCCCCCTACCTGTGTAGAACTTTCTCCCTGGTCTCCCCGTCCACATAGACCTTTCTTCCTGGTCTCCGCACTGGTCTCCCTGCCTACATAAACCTTTCTCCCTGGTCTCCCTGCCTGTGCAAACCTTTCTTCCTGGTCTCCCTGCCCGCATAGACCTTTCTGCCTGGTCCACCGCCCACGTAGACCTTCCTCCCTGGTCTCCCTGCCCGTGTAAACCTTTCTGCCTGGTCTCCCTGCCCGCATAGACCTTCCTCCCTGGTCTCCCTGCCCGCATAGACCTTCCTCCCTGGTCTCCCCACCCGCGTGGACCTTCCTCCCTGGTCTCCCCGCCCACGTAGACCTTCCTCCCTGGTCTCCCCATCCACGTAGACCTTTCTTCCTGGTCTCCCCACTGGTCTCCCTGCCTGCGTAAACCTTTCTTTCGAGGCTTAAAACAAAGCTCCCCTTCAAGAAGGAACCTCAGCCTCATGCAGGATGATGACAGATGAACCTGACACCGTCCCCTGGGTGATGAAAGTGGAGAAGACAGACGGATCAGAGCAGGTGCATCACTGTAGCTGCACCAGTTCCCCACGCTCCCGTGTCGCGTGGGGCGACTTGATGGGGCCAGGTCGTGGCAACATTTGCTGTGGGTCGTACTACATACAGCTCATGAGCATGGGCCCAGCGGCTGAGCACCTTTTTACAGCAAGCCAGCCAGGAAGTGAGCTATGGTGACCTTGACCTACTTAGTGGCCTACGTTAACATCTACAGAAACTGCAGTACCAGGGGACAGTGTGTGATTTAGTAGGGTGG